AAACGAATATCCGTCGGCCGTGATTCCATACGCGTGGAATTATAAAAAAAAATATAATTAATAGTCTATGTGTTCTTCCAGATCATGTTCTAAATTTATGCTTTCATCGAGATCCACGAAGCCGTTCAGAAGATACCTTCAAGCAAACATTCGCATTTATAACATCAGTAAGATTACAATGTTTGTTGTACAAGATATTTTTCATCAACTATCCTACAATACCAACAATATTGATATCTATTTATTTTTAATTAACTTGCAAAAGTAAAAGGTCTTTGCTATGTTTGTTACCTCAGAACTTTACTCCTAATGGACCGAATTTGATTATTTTTTTTTATTGGAAAGCTAATGTTTGCTGCAGGGTACTTATATATTTTACTAAACAATGTCTGACGCAGTTTTCAAATTATACTTAGTTACCTTTTAACATATCTAGTGTGTCTGTACCCTTAGCTATCAGTCTAACATCGGATTTCCTGCGTCCAGAGATTTAGTGACGTGTTAATACGCTTAGCTTTGCGACTGTGTCTACAAAATTGTGAACATTAGAGTGAGTTTACACTGCTGAAAGACTAGTACAAAAATATATTGTTAATTAATTATTTTCAAAGTGAAAGAGACGGCACTATTGTTTGGTACAATTAGATATATTAACTAGAGAAACATCATTTTTTTTTAAAAAAGCACTTTTTCCAAAGCAGTCAAGAATCTATTAAAGTATTTTTATCATCATCATCAGCTCACAATACGTCCCCACTGAGGGACTAGGCCGTAGTCAAACACGCTGACCAAGTGCGGGTTGATTGACTTCACACATATCTTTGAATTTCTTCTCAGATATGTGCAGATTACATAACGATGTTTCCTTTCACCGTAAGAACGTCGGATAAATGTACATATGTAAATCTGAAATCGAAAAACACATCGGTACATGGCGGGATTCGAACCCAGGACCTGCAGGTTGCAAGTCAAGTGCTTGACCACTGAGCCACCGACGAGTGTTTATACGATTACAAAAAGGTTATCAAGTCGAGAGATTTTTTAATTTATGTCATCATGTATCTTGGTGTTCCGAATTTGTTATTTTTTTAGTTATAACATTTATTTATACTTTTATAGTGAAGTATTTAACATATTAATTTTAACCGTCAATAGCCTAATAATTAAGGGGGACGGATTTCCGATCACGAGGTCGGGGGTTCGAATCCCGACATTCGACTATTGTAAACCATATCCTAGCACAAGCCTAGAGCTTAGTTGGAATGGTAAAAGAAATATTAGTAAATTTACAAAAAAAAATGCTAATATTTTTTATTAAAAAAAAATTACAATAATTTGATATGCAATATAAATCAACCATAAAAAATTATAACATTTAATTGATATCGCATGCAATAAATAGTCACATCTAAATAACCTACGTTCACAATACTAACGCATTCTCTGTATAATTACGACCTGCTATAATAACGGTGTAAACGTCACAATACGTACCAATTAACTGCTAATAGAGTTAACGTCAACGAACACGGATATAACTTTACTATGTTATGTAACGCGTTTACATTAGTATTAAAACACGTGCTTACTGTAAGACAAAGTTACTGGAGTATTCATATAGCTAGTAGAATTCAAAATCTGTCAAAATATATGCAAACTTATTTGTTCAGATGAAAGGTAACTTAACAGTGGCAGACGCAAGCAACATCTTGTATGACCACAAAGAAGACAGGCATCAAATGGAAGCAATTTCACGTACAGCCTGATGAGTTTGCGTGTCGGAGGCCTTTGTCCCTTCCCATCCTTTTCTTATAAGGAAGGGAAGCGAAGCATAGAAAAGACAAATATTCTCTTATGTCCTGTCCTCAATTGAAGGTAGGTAACACATCTGCAAATATGGATGTCTATGGGTAGCGGTTGCTCAGCTATTTTGGCAAATTTAACTGGCCGTTTGTTCGTTTGCCACCTTATAATATAAAAAAAAGTTACATACAAGACATGTTACTTGTCATTGAATCGCCCCTATCCGAAACATACGTACAAAATAGTCCATCTCAAATTATTTCAAAGAAAATGAGATGGCATGTATGTTTCAGTAAATTATATAACTATTAAAAAAAAGTCTAAATAAAATGTACAAAGCTTAAAACCTTTTAGTACGCTAAGCATTGAACACAACAAAGTAATGGAGACAAAAGACTCCTTGAAAATTTGCACGACAAAGCGATTAAGTGCCGCGAGCTTTTTCATACGGATCATTATAATGCCATCCGCAACCAGAAACAAAAAAAAACGATATTACCAAAAGACCGGTAAGTGGATGGTCTGTTACAACCCCTACTAATTAAACTCGAATATAGCGTAACTCGAAAATATTACAGCAAATGGTAGAGATAAGCGTAATTAAAAAAAAGAAAGAACATATTTGTAAACAAATAACGATTAAAAACTAATAATTTTGACAGTCAGTACATCGAAAACTTTGGAAAATACGATTTGCATTACCCCTCTCATATCAAAACCGGTAGTCATCATCAGCTCACTTTACGACTCCACTGAGAGGCTAGGAGCCTACCGTAAGAACGTCAGATAAATGTGTCATATGTAAATCGAAAAACACATTGGTACACGGCAAGATTTGAGATCAGGACCTGTAGATTACAAATCAGGTGCTTAACCCTTGAGTCCCAAAGCTAATATATCATACATATCCTTATATTCTTAATCTTGTGAACCTTCAACTTAATTTCCCGACATCGCACCCTAAGGGTCCACCTGGACCACTCTGACAACTTTACACTTTCAAATATCTCTTATCTGAATACGCTTTTACATTATTCGAATACGAAAATCTCACTTTCAAAAGCCTTAAGTAAAGGCGGATCTAAAACTTAAAGTCGCCAGGTAACTTTCTTAAAATGTTTGTTCTATTCAATGCTTTAAATCTATTTTTACCTAGAAATATTCAGCTACGATAAAAAATACTTACCAATGCCAATATGATTGAGTAATGTTTCGAAAATCATGTATCTGTGGAAACGGAAAAAATACAAAATCCAACACAAAAATTTACAGAATTGGAGAATTAAAATTTTATAAATATTACGCTCGAATTAAACGAAATTGGGTCAAGAAGAATTTAAACTAATCCGCAATATCAAAACAAATATTTATTAAGCCGTACTAATTAATATTTCGTTAATTAAAACAAATTCAGTAAGATGAATTAATGGAGATTTAAATTTCGAAACAAAACAATTAAAACGAATAATAAAATTAGATTTTCAAGGAATTGTAACAGACTTTGTTACCTTCTTTCACTGACAAGGGTAAGCTTTAGCTGTCGCTCGTGACCACGTCCGCGCGAAAATAAATAATAGCCTATGTGTTTTTCCAGACTACGTTCTACATCTGTGCCAAATTTCACCAAGATCCATGGCGCTGTTCTGGAGATACCTTCTAACAAACATCCAGATATTCGCATTTATAATATTACATCATCAGCTCACTATAAGTCCCCACCGAGGGGCTCGGAGCCTACCCTAAGTCAGGGGTGACTAGGCCATACTCAACCACGCTGGCCAAGTGCGAGTTTGTTTCACACATATCTTTGAATTACTTCTCAGATATGTGCACGCATCACGATGTTTTCCTTCACCGTAAGAACGTCGTATAAATGTACATATGTAAATCGGAAATCGAAAAACACATTGGTACATGTCGGGATTCGAACCCAGGTCCTGCAGATTGCAAATCAAGTGCTTGACCACTGAGCCACCGACGCTCTTTGATAATATTACGATATATTTACGTGCCGTCGTAACCTGTAACTTAAAGTCAACTTCACAAATATGTTATAAAATATCTTTAAATACAGAATCTTCAATCTAGTCTAGTCTATTCAAAAATCTAAGAAAGCAGTTCAAAAAATATTTATACTCTAATACTCATGAATAATAAAATTTTCACTTCGCAGTTCATTGAAAAATCTGAATAAACACGTGACAAAAACGTTACAAATAACTCGTGGAATACGAAAAGCTAGTTGAAAGGTCAACAAAAACAATCACACTGTTGATTTATTTCAACTTCGGGTCTGTACTGCGTTGATAACTAAAATGTATATACGCAAAGCTCACTTCAATAGAACGGGGTTTTTACAAAACAATCTTACTAATATAAATGCGAATTAGATGGATGTTTGTTTGAAGGTATCTCCGAAACGGTACAACGGATCTTCATGAAATTTGGCATAGATGTAGAACATAGTCTAGAACACACAGGGTTACTTTTTTTTTAATATCGCGCAGAGAGCCGCGAGCGACAGCTATAATATTATAAAAATAACAATGATAACATTCTATCTGTATGAAAAGTATCGTCATCCCTGTCATTATCTTTGACAAAATAGAGATAACAATATATTTTAAATAGAGAGATTTTAGTTTGAGAAACTCACAGTAAGGAAGAATACGGTATCAACAATATTTGAGACAAGAAGTTCAAGTCATCATGACATTGACAAAGTTGAATAAAGTACATAAAAAGATTTATCGGGATCTTTGACTACAGAGTAATGGACTAGGCAAAAAAGCAGTCGTTGTACTGTATACATTCTGCCACTTTTCGAGGGTTCATTAAAAATGACATGCGCATATTATGCTGAACACTTAAGTCTTTCTGACTTCTATTTAGCAACTAGCTTTCGCCCGCGACTCCGCCCGCGCAAAATTAAAAACAAACTTAACAAGTGGCCTATGTGTTCTTCCAGACTATGTTCTACATCTACGCTAAATTTCAGCAAGATCCATGCAGCGGTTCCGGTGACACCTTAACATAAACATCCATCCATCTAAACATTTGCATTTATAATATTAGTAAGAAGCAAGACGGCAAAATGCGCGCTTGACAGGTCCCGTCATTTAAAAATCTAAGTATCAAAATCACGGCCACGCTGGATGACGTGTGTGAACTTGTCCGCCGGTTAATGACAGGTTTGTTTGATTTGACAGACCTTGAAGCTCAGTTATATCACGAACTCCGACCGTGTATCACGTACAAAATGAATTTAAAAGGCAAAGTAGTCATTATAACTGGTGCAAGTTCTGGTATAGGAGCCGAAACGGCTAAACTCTTCTCATCCCATGGTGCCCTGGTAACCGCTGTTGGAAGGGACGAAGTTCGTTTAACTCAAGTTGCTGATATTTGCGAAGCGTTTCACGGAAACAGACCTTTATGTGTCCGTGTTGATTTAACTGAAGACGGTGGCTGCGAAGAAGTTGTAAAAAAAACAGTGGAAACTTATAAAAAGATCGATGTTTTAGTGAATTGTGCTGGCAAAACTATTGTGTCGTCTCTATTCGAGAACTCAATGGAGACGTTTGATGATTTGGTATCTTTAAACCTTCGTGTACCATATAAATTGTGTCAATTATGTGTACCTTACTTGAAACTAACAAAAGGTAACGTCGTCAATGTTTTTGGTAATAAAGGCGTACATCGTCCTGGTTTTCTATTAAGTGCGATATTAACCAGTGCTTTACAAAGCTTCACCGTGTCTGGTGCCCGGGATTTATCTTGCGAGGGTATTAGAATGAATGCTGTGCGTCCTGGAGTGACTAGGACACATTATTTGGCTAATTTTAACGTGGACGAGGACTTAATGGACCTTACGTATAATGAAATAGCTAAAGCACAGCCTCAGGTGATCAATGAGCCAGAAGACGTTGCCAAGATGATTCTGTTCTTAGCTGGATATGAACATCCGAATCTGACTGGTAATAACTTATGTTTAGACGGTGGTGCCACCTCGTGTTAAAATTTGTTTTATATAACTAGCTGTCACCCGCGACTCCGTGTGCGCGGGATTAAAAATAGGTGTAGGCCGATTCTCAGACATACTCAATATGCTCACAAAATTTCATGAGACTCGGTCAAGGCGTTTCGGAATAGAATGGGAACGAAAATTGTGACACGAGAATTTGATATATAAGATAATCTCTTATTACTTTAGAATTTTGTTATTTAGGTAATATTAAGCACAGGCTTATGATATTTTTGCTATACTTATAATATTATAAGATAAGATAAAAAATATCAATGACAAGAAAATCGTGACAAATCTTTTTGAGACTTATTTACTTATGCGTGTTATTTGAAAATGTATGAAATGTGAGAATTTGTAAAATTTTTAATGTAGTGTAAAACGCTATTAGACTTACAAACAATAGGGGAACTTACCCATACTACTTGTCCCGTTTTTGAGGGGTTTAGCGGAGTCTTTAAAATACTACGGTCAGTCACAGTAAGGGGGGGGGGGGCTCAGGTTTTTGTGACGTAGTCGTTAGTTGTTCTTTTTCATAATACATTATTCACAAGTAATTTAAGTATGCGCGCAGTCTTCAAAAATTGGTCACGTACTATGGGTATGCTCCCTAATGTCAAGTTTGAATTATTCCAGTGGAGCGACCGAAATTAGCGCTGGATTAAGAAAAATATAAACCAACACAATGCATACTATCTTGGGATTACATTCCAGTTGCAATCCAGCGCTGATATCGATCACTGCACTGGTACAAAACAAACCGGGCATAAATGGAATTAGAATTAAATCTAAGTTTTAATTTTTACATATGAAACATTTTCGAACTGAATGTTTACAAATATTTGTTTGTTTTTTATAGTGAGTTTGTAAACGCTCACTAAACTAGTTTGATTGCGATACAAATTTTGTTACTTTAGAAAAAAAATCGATGTTTTAGAAACTACAGGATGTTATTTTTTATTGTAATATTATTTTGTAGCTGTAATTATTAATACCTTATCTTTGTAGGATTATTTTTTTAAGACATCTGTAATCTCATGCACAAATTAGAACAGCAGCTAAAATTTGTTATGTTTTTAATAAAAAATATTAGTAGTTAATTAAGTTTTTATATTAAGATGTTAAAGCAAAATAAATAAAAATCTTTAATCATTAAATAAAGTTGTATTTTGACAAATTTATCAACAATACAAATTTTGTATGAAAGACAAAAAAAAACAAACATTTAAAACTCGAACATCCAAAAACTGGATCAAATGAAATATATTCTCAACAATACATCACGAAAGAAAAAAAAACAAGCGCCTGCGACAAATCACTCGGATTAAAAACACATACAACAATGCAACAAAAACAAAACGAAAAAAAAAACGTACAACGAATTTCTAAAATTCATTTGCCAACTCTAGTTTTAATTTACCGCCTGCGAGCGAGAAAACAATACGTCAAGACGACACGTGGCATGTAAACACGCTGCCCGGCGTCACGTCACGTGTAAACACGCGAGCGACGCTAACGTGACGCGGCGGGTTGTACTGCACGTCAATTGTCACGCTCACGAGTCTCTCGCAATATCCCTAAAATGAAATCTTTTAAACTTTTTTATGAATAAGTGAGTATTTTCCTGCGTAGTGTCGACACATTTATGTACTATCCTTATTGACAGAGGAGGGGATGTACAGAAAGGGGAAATATTCCCTCACGCGTATGCGTCCCCTCCTCCGTCGATTAAATGTAGGCAAAGCATCTGCAATTGGGGATATCTATGGACAACGTAGGCTTCGCTATTTTCGCGAATACAGGTGACATATTGTTCTTTTTCCACCTTATAACGTAGAAATACATCTCCACCAGCTGTCATAACTGAATTGACTCCTTTCTTCCTCATATCCTGTTTCACATAACCCATTCATAATTTCTTCACTCATCCCCCTACCTAGCCATCCATTCACGTAGAAACTTGTCAGACAAGATAGGAGTAGAAAGTGCTGTTTTTAAAATCAAGTTAAATTTTATGACATGGTACTAATCATGTCTTTGTCCAATAGAAATAACGATAATTAAAAATTATTACTCGTGAAAATATTCGATAACTCAATAGTAGATAGTAGATATCATAAAACACCTGATAACACAGTATATACAAAAACTGTATTCAAAGTGTACGTGTGTAGTAAAAACTGAATAAAAGAAAAAATGGATATAAATTTTAAAAATAAAGTTGTCATAGTAACCGGTGCTAGCTCTGGTATAGGCGCGGAAGTCGCAAAACTATTCGCAAGATACGAAGCAAAACTAGTATTAGTCGGAAGAAACGAAGAGAGATTAAAAAACGTAGCACAAGACTGTACAATCGATGGATTACTACCATTATGCATAATACTAGATCTAACACATCCAGGTAGCTGTGAAACTGTCATCAACCAAACCATTGAGGTACACGGTAAAATAGACGTGGTCATAAATGGAGCTGGCAAATTAAAAATGGCATCAATTTTCGATCAATCCATTGATACATTTGACGAATTAATCGCAATCAATCTCCGTGTACCGTATTACATGTGTCAATTAGCTGTACCATATTTAAGAAAGACTAAAGGGAACATAGTTAATATTGCAGCATCACTATCTCACAGACATACATCAGGATTTTTAACTTATAATATAACTAAGAACGCTCTCCAAATGTTCTCAGAACAAGCGGCGGTTGAAGTCAATGGTGAAGGAATAAGAATAAATACAATTAACCCAGGATTCACGAGAACAAATCTACTTAGAAATATAAACATCGAGCCTCAATATTTAGAAGCTACGTATAAAAGAATATCAGAACATTTCCCTACAAGAGTTGCTATCGAAGCCTCGGAAGTTGCAAAATTAATATGTATAATAGCCAGTGATTTATTCCCAGATATTAACGGTTCTAATATAGGAATAGATGGAGCATCCTCTTTACTTTAGTCATTTTATATAACTGTGTCAAAATGGTAGCACAAAATATCCAATTTCGAATATACAAATAATGTACAACAAGTAACGATTAATAGAATTTACTGTAGAACTCAAAGTTGTTAAATGGTGGTCTTCTTCTTCAAACCCCTCTCCATTACTGGAAGTTGGCAGTCATATCAACGAACCCATGTCTTTTGCCAAACGGAAAGTTGTTCAAATATTGGCTATGGGAGTAATTTTAGAAGGAAAGTTATTGACACAAATGTGGCAGTTACTCCTTAATATTACTCATGAAAATTACCAATAAGTGTGAGTAAGTATTGATATGGAAGTAAATAGATTTAATTTTGCGATATCAAAAAAAAATATTGCGATAAAACGGCAAACTGGACTTATAGATATGACTGTGCTGAATTTTACGATATGATAAAGACAGTATTTGCAGTGACAACATACAAATAACAGTGTTTAAATCGAGTAAAGAAATATTGTAAAGTCATTAAAATGATTTTGAAAAAGAATTAGATGTAAAAGTGTTTTAAAAGTGAGTGTTTTCGACTTATAGAACATTCTAAGCTAAATAAAGGTAAAGATGGAATTCAATTTCGAGAACAAAGTTATAATAATAACAGGAGGTAGTTCAGGAATCGGGGCTGAAACAGCTAAAATGTTCGCACAGTACAAAGCAAAGCTATGCCTCGTAGGTAGAAATGAATCTAGATTACAAAACGTAGCACAACATTGCGAATTAATCAGTGGAAACGTACCATTATGTATATTAGTCGATCTAATCCAAGCAGGCAGTTGTGAAAAGGTAATAACAAAAACTGTTGAAAAATTCAAAAGGATTGATATTTTGGTGAATTGTGCTGGTAAATTAAAACTGGGAACATTACATGAGAGTGATATCGACGTATTCGACGAACTGATGGCAATTCATTTGAGAGTACCATATTATTTGACTCAACTTGCATCACCACATTTAATTAAAAGTAAAGGAAACATTGTTAATATTGGATCTTCGTACTTAGAAAGGTATAAACCAGGATTACTTCCTTATAATGTCTCAAAGAATGCATTGGAAAAGTTCACAAGACACGCTGCAATGGAGATGGTAACCGAAGGTGTTAGAGTCAATATTATAAATCCAGGAATGACACGAACTAATTTGATACACAATTTAAACATTGATGAGGGTGATGTAAACTACGCATACGACAATCTTATAGCTGAATTAGGTCTGAAAAAAATATTAGAACCCAAAGAGGTTGCTAAACTTATATTATTAGCAGCCTGCGATATGATGCCAAACATGACAGGATCGAGTTTAAAAATAGATGGAGCTGTTATAGTGTAGTGTAATATATAATACTAGCTATCGCCCGCGACTCCGTCCGCACGGGATTAAAATTAATTAAAAAAACAATGTCCAGCTGACAAAATTGTGAATCTAAACCATTCCCATATCCCCTTGAACACACACAAAAAATTTCATCAAAATCGGTCCAGTCGTTTGAGAGAAGTTCAGTGACATACACACTCACAGAAAAATTATATATATAAAGATACTGTTGGATATCTCTGGCTTTGGCAACGACAAATAGAAACGTCCACGCGTGTCTGTCAACGAACATAAGTCGCTTAGCGACCTAGCGTAAGCTTAATTTTCATATACAGAGTGTTTTTTTTGTATTTATAAACATACATGATTTTTAATTACCTTATAATTTTATTAAGTAACAAAAGTGTTAAGTAAACATAGATTAAGTCATCGAAAAGGATACTAAATTCTATAACATTATAAACATTCATGTTACCATGCAACATATTTCGTCTGTGAAAACAGACTGTGTACTGTGCTTCGTTTTTGATTTGATAAAATTAAGCATATTTTCAATGTAAAAATTGTTTTAATAAATTATATATCATCCAATAATATATCGTTTAATTTATATCCACGAATATTTTTAATACAAACATAGATAAGGATATCAAATTAGGAAACGTAGATAGAAAATCTACGCAAAGATAAAGTAACACGAGTAACATAAAATAAACAGATTAGAAAATAGGTAAAAATAGTACTTATTTGGGGGTAACTAACATTATATCAATAATCTTACTAATCTTATTTCTTTTTAATACTATAAACTAGTTGTCGCCCGCGACTCCGTCCGCGTGGATATATGAAAAAAAAAACTTAATTAGTGTAGCGTATCTTTCAGACTATGTTCTATACGTATGCCAAATTTAATCAAGAACCGTTCAGCCGTTCTAGAGATATCTTCAAACACCCATCCATCCATCCACATCACATCCATCTAAACATTCGCATTTATAATAATAGTAAGTTAAATAGAAAGCAGCTCTTCAAGGCATAAATTTGAAAAAAAAAATAATTAAAAAATGAATAAATAGTATCCTATGTCCGTCTCCTGGCTCTAAGCTACCTCCTCACCAAGCCGTTCTTGAGTTATAAATAGTGTAACTAACACGACTTTCTTTTATATATTCATATAAGATATAGATGTGAAACTTAAGGTGGATGGATGTTTGAAGGTATCACCAGAACGACTAAACGGATCTCTATGAAATTTGGCATAGATGTAAAACATAGTCTGGAAGAACACATAGGCCACTAATTTAGTTTTTTATAATCAGGCGCGAACGGATTCGCACGCTAAAGGAGAACAGCTAGTCTTACTAATATTGTAAATGCGAATGGATGGATGGATGTATGTTTGTTTTAAAGTATCTCCAGAACATCTAAACGGATCTCGATGAAATTTGGCATAGATGTAGAACGTAGTCTGGTAGAGCACATAAACTACTAATTAAGTTTTTTTTAACTCCGTGCGGGCGGAGTCGATGTCGAAAACTAGTTATGAATTACAGGAATCTTTTTGAGGTGCAACATATTTATTTCTAGCGTAAATTGATCGAGATTATACAGATTGAAATGTATATTTCAACTAAATCGTTCCTTATAATGCCCATTCCAATGAATAGATTATCGAGATTGATTGGTTTGGACTTGACAGGGGATTAGGGAGTTTTCAGAAGCTTAATAATGTTGATAGAAAAAAATATATATAAAAAGAGAATAAATTACTACGTCAAATTTACTAAGAAAAGAACATTTTTAAAAGCAAAAAAGAAATTTTGAAAGGATCTACTCCTATGACATAAAAAAAAACAAAAATAACTATAAAAGTTAAGAAGATCATTAAGAAAACTCGAAATTGAAAACAACCGTTGTTGGATAATTTTATTGAAAACTTTAATTAAAACGGCTTAATTAATTCAATGTTACTTTGCTTCACTAACTTAAGGAAATTAAATTATTTTGAGCTCGTCTTTATATTTTAAACTGAAGCAACTTAATATAAGTAAAAACGTTGCTTTAACTTTTTTACTATAAAAGAGCATTTTATATTACTACTACATTAATTTAACACATTCAATGCCGATACAGTATGCGACAAAAGCAAGTCATCTTAAAAATCATTGCGGCACATAACGTGTTAAACATACATAATAAGAAGGGCAAAATATTCCGTGCATCCCCACCTCTGTCAATGAAAGGTGGGTTACCCATCTGCAACGGATGTCTATGGATAACGTTCGCTTCGCTATTTCTGCGAATCCAAGTGGCTGCTTTCAATACAAACTTATATTATTAAATTAAATTTCATCAAAGATTTCAATGTTTTAACATACAATTAATTAGTATAATAAAGCAAGCAAACAACCTCGAATCACATTGCTTAAAAGAAAGAAATCTTTAACACGAGTTTTTTTTTCAAACGAGCAACGGGGCACCGGTGTGCAACGACGCCCATGGACATCAGCAATACCAGAGGAACCAGCAGAATATTTATGGACAGTAAAGCCATTTTCCAACATATTATTTTGATGTTAATTACAGTGTATTTAAAGAATAGACTAATATAACATTGTAACAGTTTATAAGGCTATAAAATTATTAATATCCAGAAGAGATAAAGGTATGTCCACAGGTGGGTACAATGTTTGGGGAAAGGACATAAAAACTTAATACGAGAATTAATTTTACATTAAACAAATAAACGCTTTGTTTTATTAACAACACCTGGCCAATGGTATTTTACATTTTTAGTTATTGTTTTTTTATATAAAAAAGATACCTGCAATGGACTGATAACACGATGAACTAAAACTTTAAACAACCAAAATGATATATTTTTTGTGTCAAATTTATACAAGTTTATCAAATTAGTTTAAAGTGTAAGGGTTCGTTTTGATCCTTTTATCTTGATATATTTTACTAGTATTAGGACCACTATTTTTAGTGTAGAGACAAAAAACTTACATTGACTTTAATTTCACTGACCCGTAAGTGTTTATTCACACGGGCGTTTTTTTAACGCCGCGTTAAATCTAGGCGTTGACGGCTCTCTAGCGACAAACGCTTTAAACTCACTTTAGTATTCTTTCACCAGTGCTTCACATGCAAAAATGGGCGATATAAAAGCATCGCGTTTTAAAAGCGCTAACATGTGAGCAGATACATAGTTTTTTTTTATATCATAAGGTGGCAAACGAGCGAGCGGCCACCCGAAATCGCTGAAATAGCGACGTGACCGTTGCCCATAAAACGCAATTGCATATGCGTTGCCTACTTTTAATCGACGGAGGAGAGGATGCACAGAAAGAAAACTTTTCTATGCATCCTCTCATTCGGAAAGTCCACTTCCACTTCCCATCCTTTCCTTATAAGAAAAATTGTAGGAAGGGAAAAAGGACTTAATTAGGTCTCCGAGACGCACACTCAACAGACGAAACGCGGCTTTCACTTGACGCGTGTCTTGTGTGTGGTCGTGGTATATCACCGGGCGAGCCGGGACAATTCGAGGGAAGCTGTTAAAGCGAGCTGTACCACTGTTTAATGCAGTTGCAGTTGCATTTGTTCTATTATCTTTAAAGCGCGTTAAAAAAGCGCCCATGTAAATGGCAGCTAACATAGTTACATATATAGTATATTGATGAAGTTATAATTAGTAATATGAGGTTTAATTAACATATGAATAATTAACAATACGTTTGTAATTGACCTGATTGTCGGTGACATTGTCTGACACGGCATAAACGAACACGATAAGCGCCTGTCATCAACATTATGCAATCCGAATTCTGATTGTATTTTAAATATTAAATATAATAATGTAAAATTTCACTTTAATAAAACTTATGACAAGATAAACCACGAGCTTCTGAGACCAGATTCTCTGTACAGACAGACACTAAAGAGAAATTTAATGATTGCTTAATTTATAATAGTTCAAGAAATCTATACTAAAGGAATCTACATGACTTTTGGATCTTAGCATCCTGTTTAAACTTAAAGAAATAAACTACTAAATAAAATTAATTAAAGATATCTTAAACCAAGTAACTGTCAGTAAAATTAATTATAATTTAAACCACTCGACAAGCTCATTAACAACAATCCCCATACAAAGCCATTCAACAAAATTATACAACAGTGAATTCTCCACGCGGACAGTTTAATATCATACATTAATTATTCTATTCGCAAACGTGAATTTAATGCAAATATTCAACAAAACGGCTCCTAAGTAAACCGTCATAACTCAATTTTCAGAAAAAAATGCTTTTAGTATTTTTCCAACTCTATCAAACAAGATGAATATTCATCTAATCTTACTAATATTATAAACGGATGGATGGATGTTTGTTTAAAGGTCAGCAGAACGGCTGTATGGATCACGCTGAAATTTGGCATACATGTAAAACATAGGCTACTAATAATTTTTTTACAATACGACGCGGACGGAGTCGCGGGCGACAGCTTGTAATAACATGAAATTTTAGCTTGATAACTTTGAAATTATAATAAAAAATGCAAACAAATTTATCGACAGTATAACTTTGCCGTTTGCAAATAAAAACATTTTTAATATTTATCGCGTTTCCAACTAAACGACTTTCGTTAGTTTTCCATTAATATAGAATTTTCTTTCAATTCTGATAAGTCGTATAAACGACTTTGTTGAAAAAATGTTACATTTCCGGCATTCACGCTTCGACCGCCGAGGCGAGCGGACGTGTTTCGAGCGGAGGAAATGAAATCTATTTAACACTTAACGATTTTCGATGCGATAAAAACACGATTGGTCGGAACTATTTGATGTTGAAACGTATCAACATGTTAGTAATTTAATAAAGCTTATAGAAAATCAAGTTAATGAAAAAATTACATTTTAGCATTGAATAGGCTCAAAAACCATTGAACCGATTCGCAAAATTGTTTCACTGTTGGAAAGCTACACTAGCCCTGGGTAACATAGACTAGATAGATATTTTTTTAATTCTGCACAGACAAAGTC